TCTATAAAATTTCATAGTTACTTAAGTGATTTAATGCATTCTTGTGCTTAATTTGTATATTTTAGTGTCTTCTTGTATATTTTTGATCCCCTCATGGTTACCTTCTATTTTTATCAGGTACTTCAACAATATTTATAATATTGAGACTATGGGAAAAGAGCTAACATATAGATTTAGCTATGTCAGGCAAACCTCGTTGGCCTTTTGCGCCATTTGCGCAACTTTCAAGAACCACTGCTCCCTGACTAATGGCTCGACCACGTCACCCGAACGAGAACATATTGGTAGAAGCATTTTGCCACGGCCAAATTTCATAGCTCGGCAATCCAGTAGTTGTCCATCCTTCTTTCCTAGATCCAAACCAACTTCATCAATGCCAAAACGCCCGCGATATATTCCTAGTTCCGTCAAGCGATCAATCAGGCGTTGGCGAGCCGTGAACCGAGGCAGACCCTAGGATAGATTGGTCAAGAATAAGATAAAAATACAGTCAAATGAAAACGTTGGCGTCAAGATACTAAGGGGGCGCCTTAGTCTAAGAGAGAGATATTTAAGTTCGAAGGCAAGAAAGGATAACAAAAAAGAGGATGATGAGATTGATATGTGAATAAAGTGAGGAACAAGATAGGTAACTAAGAGAATGTGACTAAGGTGGGTAAACTATGGATAAATGGAAATATAAGATTAAAAACAGTAAATAAAGAGAGGGAACATAGTGAAAAAACAGGTTATTAAAAAAATCAAGGAAGATATCTTAATTTAATATTTTTCAGTCGGTAAGATAGGCTGTTAAAAAAAGCGAGGAGTTGCATTCAAAGGTGGTACTATGATAGGTAGAAAATACGTGGCAGGCAGGTTAGACAGAACAAAAATAATTATTTAATAAATAGAGAATTCTTTAATGTTTTCGTATTCTACGTTAAAAAACTGTTTTGATTGAAAATAAGACCAAGAAATTACTTGGAGCAAAAAATTACAAGTAAAGCTATTTAATTCTGGAGTAATTCAGATTCAACAAGAGCTAATAAATCAGTAAATGTAGTTATATATTCATCTATGAACAAATATACATAAGGAGATATCAAGCCACGGATGAGATTTTGGATCAATATATTAATCAAGGCGCATCATTCTTTCACTTTATTGAAGCCGAAATGATTTAGCCAAATAAGGGGGCTTGGGGTGAGATACGGGTTTAAAATGAAGTTTTTTTCTCAATGATATGGAGAGCCTCCTGACCTTATTAAGGATCTCTTAGACTTACCTCCGAACTCATCCAAGCTGGACTGCAGTATAAATCTCTTCGCATTATAGCATCAATACTCTCAACAGGAATCGAAACTGAGTCGTAGCTAACTGTTACGAATCCGTTAGACTGCCATTGATTTTAACATGGCATGAGGTTGATGTGATATTCAAACAAAGCCGACCCTCATCTAAATCACAATTCCATCATAAATGCGATTTGGGAGAGGCCTAACCTGCCTAGAAAATCACTTCTACCCTCTGATCTCCTGGCATCTGTGGTTGCGTGAGTGTCGCGACGATACGTACTACGCGATTTCAAGTCGTATAATGAGATATAAGGAGTAGAAAATACGGTCCAGCCTGGGTGAGAAAAGCTGTTGGAAGAAAAGCCTAATTTAAATTAAGAACATCTTGAGGCCCAATCATGTCATGAAAAAACTCAAATATGCGTCCTTAGATCAGATTAAACTAAGTTCTTATGTATTAATTACTGAGAAGTTCGAAACAGAATCACATAGGATATAAAGCCTGACAATAAAACTTTTAATGCTCACCTCGAATTCCCCTCCAATGTGATTTATAGAGCCATCATCATTAAAGCAGTTTAGCACTAGAAGACCGTGTTTTTTGGCCGCTTCCCAATCAGTGTGTGAGTGCCCGGGGCTAAGCTTGACAGCACCTGAAGTTATGAAAGAAGATGAAAGTAAAATGAAGGTGAAATAAAAAGAAATAAAATATGCTGATAGCAGAGTTTGTTACTTATGGATCGAGAGATTAAAAATGTAGTCGTGAATTTCCATGGCAGTTGGAAAAAAATTAAGAATGGCAATAATTTGAGTTAACCTTATAATGTAATTGGAAGAAGTAGAGATAAAAATA